CTGCGAAACATATAGGATGTCAAACGAGGATTTGTTCATTTCAGTTGAGTCAGCTCGCTGAGAGATTTGATGGACGTGAACAAAAACCAGTTTTTCAATTGGATTTTAAAACACCACCTACCTAGAAATAATCTATTCGTCTTGTATCTCTACAATTGTTATTTCAACATTTTTGACAGGTCTATACAGAAAACAGAAGCGGTTTTGATCCATCGTTTCACAAAAATTAAAAGTGCTTCTATTTTCTAGTGTTTCAATTGAATAATGTATTTGTTTTTCTGTTCCTGTTTTTTTTTTTTATCGTATATTTCAAGATGCATGACGAATGGCCCTAGAATATTTCCACTGCATTTGAACATGCAAAATTATTCATTTGATGGGAACAAATATTTGAAAATAATATACATCTAATTTCGAAAGAAAATTAATATTTTGACAATTGGAAAGGAATATAAAATATTTTTAATTTAGAAGAATGTAAAGTTCACATTTGCAAGTTTCAATTATTTCAATCCAGAAAATAGAAAATGTTACTGAATGAAGTTTTGCAATACGTTACAACGAAGTAATAACCCATAAGTACAGAGAAATCTTTCAACGAGGACTTTCTTTATCTGCCTCATATAGTCATCTCTATTTCTTTTACCCTGAAGGCTGCTTCCTCTCGACTTTCACGGCCTGCGAATTTTCCTAGTTTATCCGATAATTTTCTCGCCTTTACATGTAGGTGGACGGAAAAAGGAAAATAAATGAAGGAAGATGAGAAGGAAGAGAGCGGCGTATAGAATGAAGCAAGGGGAAAAGGAAGCGAAAAAAGGAGAGGAAGAATAAGAAGAGATTGGAAAGAGTTATGATTGTGGCCGAGTTTTCGTACTCGAAAAGCTTTGGAAGACTTTTGATGACGTACGACAATTCATCTTTGATGGGAAATGCATAGAGAAAAGAAGACTATAATATCAATCGAGTACTTCTTCACTGAAAGTTCTGTTATCTGATGAATGGCTTATGTTATGCTATTTAATTTATACTGAAAGTTGAGTGAATTTAAATTTCGAAATTTAACTTTCGAACTTGTACACTCTTAAATTTGAACAAAATATATAGGGCTTTCCATTTTTCTGTAATTTTTAACCCCCTGAAATTAATTTGATTTTCTACTTCATATTATTTTCATTTTTTAAATGTGACGTATATCCTATAAGAGTTTACAATTAATACGATGAGATATTAATTAATATTTTGATAATACCAACTGAACTCATTTTATTAAGATGACAGGGATATATTTAATGTCCAATATATGAAAGACGATATGACTTGAGGGATAGCATTTTCTATGTTCGATGGAGTGCTCTAATGATCACGTGTCATGATGCTGCTATATATTCAACCAGGCTCTTTACGTAATTGAGAGGCAAGCTGAGCAAACTTTAAGGCGGATCACATAATTAACGGATCGTTTCGAAGGCCAAGATACTTGCAGTTTAGACATCGAATCATAAGTCATAATTCGAGCAGCATCAGAGCCTGTAATTACCGGAGAGTTCATTTAGCAGATTATCACTGAAAGACGATCGAGAATCACCGTAATTGGATACTGATTTAAAATACCACCATTAAACCATTTATTCTTATAAGATATTTAATAATATTCCTTTAAAAAAATATTAATTACTAAGATCACTAATTAACAAAACTGAAGAATTTCTTGAAATTCAATGTCTACTTAAAAGAAGTTATAGGAGTTATAAATTATACTTTAGACACTAGTATTAATTAATAACTAATATGAAATACAAAATTAAATTAAAATTGAGGCTCCCTCTATGCTCCACCGTCCGAATATTAATAAGCCCAGTGATTGAAGATTAATTCTTCAGATTGCTTCAATAAGTATTATTAAATAAATAATTGAATTAATAATGCGATTATAATCGTACGCGATTTTATAATCGTTATGCGATTAATCATACATTATTAATTTAAACATTTCATTCTTCGTAAAAGTTTTATAATTTATACAAGATACCTGAAACTTGTTCAAAAATGTTTCTCCAAAGAATTGCGTACCAGGGAAATGAACATGAATTTAATTTTTCGTTGTGATTCATTCATATTTGAAACTGAATACATTTCAAGATGTTCTCTTTTCGACAGAAAACATTTCCGTTTAATAGAGGTTATTTCTTTTATGAATGAAAATACACTAATTACATTTTCACGGTTAACCACTGTACTTCGTTTGACTCTAATTATCTGAAAGTGAAAATTCAATATTTTAAAACAATCGTAATACACGAATTTCCCTGACGTTCATTAAAATTTCTCAAAACACACCTATATTCTTTAATTAAAATTTCAATCCTATTTTATGTGAAATATAATATATGTTTATTATATTGATGTTGTATCTGTGCAATTACTTTTTAGAAGAATAAAATGTTTATTGTGAAACAAAATAGAAATATGTATCACATACAAGAACATAAATCATTCTAATGGATCAGGATTGAAACTAAGAATTACTAGAGATGTGATAGATATTTTATAGTAGTTAATTGTAGCATACATAGTCATTATCAACGAGAAAATCGTTGAATCGTGACATTATAATGTGATACGATTGCTATTACAGCCTGTAATGCATTTGTTACACGAAAAAGATATAAATCCGAATTGGAACAGTGGAAAGGAGGTACAAATAGCTCTTTTTCTTGAAAACTGGGTCGATGGTTTGATAAAACCATTTATAGTATTATGAAACTTTTCTTTAATAGCTACCAGAAAGAAAAAGGTAATTGATGAACAAATTCAATAAAAGAATGATAAATAAAAACCTTTCAATATTCCCTTGACGCGTCCATTTCAATGTTATTCTACAATGATTAAATCGTTAGTAAACACCGCGAGTGACCATCCCTTGTAATTTCACTTCCTTTTTCCTGTCACGTTTTTCAAACCTTCGCCCAGAGCTTTTCCTTTCCTTCCCGTCAATCTCTTTCATTTACTGTTCGACTCCCATAGGAATCGGTAAGTAGTATACAACGCAATGAAACCGTTTAATGGAAATCGAATTACTTCAATTAAGATAGAATCAACTCTTCTTATTCCCTTGAAAGAGCATTTCGTGTGGAATAATATATTTTTACAAACGATCTACTGAATATCATTGGTGAATATAAATCTTCTCTTTACTGTATCTTTGAAAATTTAATTTATATGAAATTGTTACAGAACCTGAGATGATTTGGTGACATATAATAATTAAATATTAATACCTCAATTTTTTTCACGAGGTACTTCAACAAATTTGAAATTAGCAAAATTGAAGAAGCAGAATTGAAATATTGCAAATGCCGCGACCCATTTTCTTATATATTGAATTCACGCAAGAGAAAAATTGAAGAACATTTTTATTTGAAAGAAAAAACTTCATTTTACATTTTCAACCCACTTTTGCATGAATTATCACCCCCTTTTCGCTTACACGGTAGATCCGGTAAAAATGAATAAACCGTGGAGGAATAAATTAAAACGTACTTTTGACAAGAAAAATAATAAAACACATGTGTAAATGAAGGAGTGCATTGTGCGGAATAAAAACACGTACGATTGTGTCGTTTCCCAGTGAACGTTTTATTTAATTTGTCAACGTCAGTCATGCGAGGGTTGAAGAGTCGATGACACGATCGGGAAATCTTCAATCAAAATATGACGAAACCGACTGCGCGACACCACGCCGTTTTAACCGTAATTAATTTCGGCAGGATTCGTATCACGTGGATAATTCCGTTCCGATCATGATCGCCGATTGCATAGGAACGCGTTTCACGTTCACGAAATAATTATTGAACTGTCCACCGAGAATACCGACGTATTTATAGAGGCGATAATGTCCATCATAAATGTTTTGTTCGATGAAAACACCTGCAGCTACATAAATGTACAAGTTCTATAGGGATTTTCTACATGGTTAATGAATATTAATATTCAATTTAAAATATAAACAAAGAAGAAAACAAAAAAAAAAAAACAAAAAAAGAAAAAATAGTTTTCACTCACGGATTATTTGAAAATGTGTCAAAAATGAAGTGAAATATGTAAAGTGGATTATAGATGGAGTAAGGGAGATTCTATAACTTAAAATAAATTGAAATGATAGAATAACTTTTCTTCATACGAAGCTTCATTTATAAGAAAAGTGAATTTGAAAATTCACGTGCGCCTGACTAATGCCTGACTAATACTACTGGTTTTACTACTTGACTCTGCAGTAGTCGAATCTATGAATGTATAGCATGGATGATAAGCATTATCAGGGCTTTAGATTTGGGACTTACACTAAACACAGTGATAAAAGAGTATGTAACAAGCTTGAAATTCTATCAGACCGTTTATCGATAATCAAGGGTCAGAATCAAGATGATCAAGGAGATAGTGGTTTGTTCTTGTCCCACCTGTGTATACACCCATCGATAGCAAGATTATTCGTCGAGAATGGTTGTGTTGCTTCATAAATCGTAGGATTTATCGTTGCTGACTCACCGAGATCTGTTCACGGTGTATCGGAACCCTTAGGGCTATCCCATGGGGTTTAGCAACCCCACGGGAGTTGCAATAGTTCCCTACGAACTTGTATATAATCTCTGATCAATTATATATATATTTCTATACTAAATATGGAAGATTTATAGAAAAGTAGGTTCATGGTGTACCAGTACCCTTAGGGCTATCCCGTGGAGTTCATTGCTCCCATGGAAACTTTAATAATTTCCTAGAATTCTTAGCAAATTAGTATTTCTTCTTTTGCCAACAATCATTTTAAATTAAATAATATTTGATAAATTATATATAAATTATTCTGTGTAAATAATCGTATTAAATAGAAGAAATATGATAGAAAAATCGAAACTGTAACTACTGAAACTATAATCTCTACGAGATCGTTTACAAGAGATATTTTAAAACTGGAGAGATATTAAAACTGGAGGTATACTTACATTGAAGTCGGCCGTGCATTTTACCAAATCTGCTGGATGTCCTGAATACAGCCTCAACGATTGCAGTAGACCCTTTAAATAAACAATCAGGAAATAGTAGACGATTGCACGGTACACATAATTCGTCATCTTTTTTCACGAGTTTCGTTTCTTCTTTCTTGTTTCCGGTATTCACAAGGAAACGCAATGGTCACAATTTTTGAAATATCACTGTTTTGAAATTTAACACCTTTTTCGTTAAATAGTTCAAATCAAATTAACAACTCAAATCAGAGCTGTTAGAGATATTGTTGTTTATAGCGAAACAACTTAATCATTTATGTAGAAAATCTTAAAATTATGAAGCTGAAATTCTTTAAAAATTACATTAACTTACAAAAATTATTATGGATTATTTTGAAAAATAATTATTTTTGTATGGAACTAATAAAGGGCTATTTTGACCCTTAAAACTATAAAATTTTATTTTCTTAATATTAATATCTAAAATAGACAGTGGAAAATGTCCCTAACAATTTAAAAAATATTTTCAATAATTAAATCCTTTCGGTGGTTATTTCTATCAAATTTTAAACTTTAAATTGATAGCACAAGTGCCTTTTCGTGATCGATTTATGTCATGAAGATTCATTCAACTTTGAATGTTTCGAGATTCTCCATTTGATATGCAACGATTCGATACATAATCTATAAGCATGATTCAAAAATAACTGGAGCGGAACGATCTCGTTCAAATTGTTGTTAACTGGCAGCCCGGTGGTTTGACTAATTAATTTGGCTTTAAACTTTCAGCACGGATTTTTGGCCGGTGTACGATGAAAGTTTGTCGTCAAAAATTTCATTGGGAATTCGCCCGAACTATCTAATTTTCCAACGATACGAGAGACGATAGAACGAATCTCCGTTAAAAAAAGTATAACCAATTATTGGGTTCATTAATTTGAAGATATTCGAAAGAACGCCTTTTGAAATCATACATTCATTCAAGCTTCATTTGGAAACTTTCCACGAAATTTCAACGCAAACACCGTGACGAACAGGGCAAACATTCTCGACACCATTACCCAGAAGTCATTTTTCACGATACGAAATGGCAAAGGAAAAATCGATACTTTATCTGCGAACGACAAACGAATCGAATGGGCTATCTGTACGAAAAAAAAAAGAAGAAATCGAAATGTTGAAACGGTGATCGATCGATCACTGGTAAAGTATTCATGGGATCTATAGATCTTCTTAAATGGGCCGAGGTAACGCACTTTACGGTGTACTTTTACAATTCCCGTTGCTACATATGCTCGTAGCGAACTCTTTTTCTTCCTCCGCAAGCTACATAACGGATTTTTTCATTCGGAAATACCAGCCCGTTCCACGGATTTGCAACGATAAAAGGTCGTTTTCATTTTGTACCACGGGAAGCCCGATCGCGGTTTTCCTACCGATTAAACCGCCGTAAGACAACGTGGCTCCAAGTGCGTGTAAACTTTCGCGTTAACCGGAGTTTAAATTGTGCTCGTGAATACCGCGAAATTTAACGTCGGACTTAAGAGATTAGACCAGTCGGTAATTTTTAAAGCACGAACGAGGTCGATTGGTAATCCGCTTGAACGAGGATTCGCTTCGAAATGAATTTTTCAATCTCCGCTGTTCAAGGGTTGATTTTGTAAAAAAAATATAAAAAATCAAAACGGTTGATCCTCCCTATACTAAAGTGTTAAAATATATGTATTTATGTTGGTAATGAGTTCCTGTATTTTTGAATTGATTTTAACTAATATGTAGAAGAAATGAATTAGCGAAATTGCATTGTTATTGGAACAATTTGGTTTCGACCATGACATGGATTGCTCATAATATCCTGTTAGATGGCTACCGTGCTCACCCTGTTACTTGTTCACGAATTGATCAAACGATATACGTTCGATCGGTTTGTCGATTGATCTGAATTATTACGAGCCTAGCCTGCAGCCGCAACTAAACGACGTTTGCATAATTTTACCGGATGATAGATGTATCTTCGCCCCGGAAGTTTCGAGTTACGTGATACGAAACTAAGCAACATCCTTCTTGTAACGTTAATCCGAATTTTCAACTATCGATTGACGAGCCAAGGTGTATAACCAATTAATAATAATTACGATGTTCTTTCATTACTGAACTCATTAGAAACTTTTGATGGGGAGATATTGAAAAAAGTTTACCATTGAAAAATCTGACTTTAATATTTTAATTTCTCATCATATCCCTCTACCTAATACTTTATACTTTATAAATTAATTATATTTTGCTAGAACATTAAAGAGATAAAAGAATACAAATTTCAAATTAGATGTTTTTTTATTTAAAGTACTTTTTTAATTAATAATTAATTATTAAATTAACATAATGCTTTATAATATATGTTAATTAACAGAAAAATTAAAATTGTCAAATGTATTCGATATTAGAAGAATAAAAAATATGTGATTAATCAATGAAGAAAGTTACACAATTTCCATCCAATTTACATTAACAGATCCTTTTTACATCTCGATACCAGCTGGAATTCGTTCAATTCATTGTCAGATTTTACATTTTAAATCAGGAAACGATAAATTAATATGTCAACAGATTGTGAATAAACATGTTACACGTTTCAGTCGTTGTAATTGAATCATAATATTATAACATTTCATGGAAACATTGTTTAATTTTAAATATCATTTAAAAGGCACATTATTTAATTTTATTCTTCATAAATAGCAATAATATTCAATACACGAATTTTAAAAGTGTGCATTAAAAACTGATAAATTTATTGTACATGCACATTTACAAACAAAATATGTTTCTGAAAATATAATATTTTTGAAATCATTTACTATTTCTTTCCTGCAACAGACGTATCTAATTACAATTAAAAAATAGATACAACTTCTTCTGTAACAATTATATGGATCATTCTGCAACTACAATATAGGTTGTCACGAACTATCCTCTAAGTTAAATAACCGATATTGGGGTCAAAGAAGAGATTTTCAGATAGATATCGATACCCTTGTTCACTATTAACACTGGTACTGGTAATCGATTGTCGATTGTATGTTTCGACAGGATAGCACGTTTGAAACTTTCTACGGACGCTCGAGTCATCGGGGTTTCGAGTAGCGGTTTAATCAGATGGAAAACGAGGACTTCCGGTCGTGTCGGGTTCGATCGTTCCGTACGAGATGAACGCGGATGACTGTCCTGACCACACTAGACCCTACGAAACTTACAGAGGCAAAGAATGAAAGAGAGGGGAGAAAAGCGGTTCCTGTGGCTGGCTTCGAATCTTCTTCCATGCTCAAGTTTTTTCATACACAAAGAATATTAACAAATAAAACGTGCCATGTATCAGTAATCTATATGTAAATAATTATTGTTTATCTATAAGCCGAAATACACTGTATATTTTAAAGAAGGATTAATTGCAGTGTAATTTTTTATGGTATTTAATCAATAAAATTGATATTTTCACAAACTTAAAGAAAATATACCATATTTATTCTTACTCAACTTTAAAAATATTTAATTACTTAGAAAGAATGCAATTTACACGTTTCGTTACTAGCACGTATTTCTTGTTAAATGCTTTTAATATTTGTTTGCATTGCATTTTTTACGAATAATTCAGCTGCAACAGTAAACAACGAAGTTTGTTAATTAAAAACAATATTTCACACGCAGGTGTGTACATGTAATTTTGAAAATTGTCAACGTTTGAAAAAATGCCAATTTCATTTAACATAGAATATTAAATGTTTATAGAGTTCAGTGCAGTGAAAAAATTACCTTCATCGATACCATAAATTACCTTCGAAATGAAAATATCTTTATTTCATTTTCCATTTCCGATTGAAAGTCGATAACAAACCATTTTTCGTATCCGTATATTAAATCATCAATGACCCAGTTATGTATCAATAACAGATTAATCATATAGATTTAATCACACGAAGCTATTTTATAAATACTTCAGGTATAAATGTGTATCTGGTTCAGTTTATATCTTTTCTTCAGCAGATAGAATTCAATATTTATTTTTTCCGGTATATTTTAGAAAAAATATAGAAACTTATTGATTTTAAATTAAATTTATTTACCCACTGAGCTCCCGCGGGATTTCATTTGCATTTAAATCGAGAATAACAATATACTCCTTTTTTGAAATAAAGCATTCATTTTTAGATGAACAATGTATCGTTTACTTCAAAAGTTGTTATTTCGAAATAATTCTAAGTTAATAAATTTTCCACTTAATTTCCCTTTTGATTAAAAAATATTGGAAAGTATTGAAAAATAATGTTCCCTTTTAAAAAAATTAAAATGAAAAGCCTGATATTAAAACAACAGTATAACATCGATTAAAGCTTGTTATAAATAATAAAATGAATATTACCTATTCTATACCAAATTTCAATGCAAATTATTAAGTTTCTTTGGATTAAATTATAAGACCAGATAAAATAAAATAAAATAAAATATTTTTTATTATGTTCAGCTACGTTCAAATTATACTATCTAATCTTTAACATTAATTAGGTAAATTTGCTAATTTGCGAATTCAATGAAAATTTGCAACAATCTAACTGCTTCTATTCGCAATAATTTCCTCGTTGCGAGTTTACTGGTACATCGGACGCAGTGACGAGTTGCTTCTAAAGTCGGGACGCGATTGTTTAATTCTGACAAAGACCGACAAGGAGCGTCCGACAAATTTTAATCCCTCCAGTTCCGTGAAAAGTAGCCGAGGAAGGAGGCGAGGAGAGAAATGGTGAATGCGGCCAGCTAGAATACGCTTAATTTTCCAGATTTATCAGAGCATGATAAGAAATCGAGTTAACGTTTTCTAAGCTCCTCGCAGGGATCTGACGCGATTAAATATTTGGGAGAATTTTCGACCGTCTGCCTTCTGCGTCCTGTTCGTCGTGTTTTATATATAGAAAGTCTGTAACTGGCCACTTCAAAGGGGAACAGACGCGTTCAAGAACTTGATCAACGTGTCTGGGAAATCTTAAACGTGTCCTTAATAAGTTAAATTATCGGTGTAC